CAGGCCTGCCAGGGAGCTGGGGGAGTCATCCTGACTGCAAGAAGGAAGGCCTGGAGTTTTGAACCAAAAAACCAGTGTACCTGAAATTTTCAGCAGGGTAGCATCCCTGTAGAGCTCACTTGTCAGCCAGAGGCACGGCGGCAGCTGCCAGGCTGTGTGTTGGAGCTCTGATAGGGCGGGAACATGGCCCATCTCCACTCCTGAAATCACCCCCCAGAGGTCTCAGCTGGGACTGGGTCTAACTTTATTTTTAAGTGCAATTTGACTGTAAGAGACTCGTGGGCATGAAGCCTCAGGAAAGAAAATGCCATCGAAGAGGCCCCTCTGCAGTGCTAGGCCATGAGAACTATTTTTAGGGGCCTCTGTGGCCCTCCATGGTTCTCCCTGCTGGTGGCTTGTTTTCTCTGTTGGGCTTTGTTGTTGCTGTTGTTGTTTGGAGGCGAAAGGGGGTGGGGGAGGGGATGCTACACCCAGCAATGCTCAGGGGTTACTTTTGGCTCTGCACTGAGGAATCACCCCTGGCAGTGCTCATGGGACCATATGGGATGCCCGGGTTTAAACCAGGGTTGGCTGCACGCAAAGCAAGTCTACCTACCGTGCTATCTGGCCCTCTGTTGGAATTCCTCTGGTCGGAAGGAAACCTGGTGATCAAGACGAATCGGGAGGTGGCACCTTAAGCAGCAGGGTCCTCTGGCATGATCTGTGTGCTGGGCAGCAGAGAGCTGTCCAGGGGCACGGGACTGCAGTGTGTCTGTGGGTGGTGGTGGGGGGGGGGGGGGGTTGGTGGTGGTTGTGGGTGGGAGGTGGGGGCGGGGCCGTCCAGCATCTGGACCTTCCTAGCTGGGCCCAGATAGATAGTGAGGGACTCGGCCCAGCTCAGGATCCCAGGGATGATCCCTTCCAGGCTGTGTTCAGTGGCACAAGAAACGGAAAGTAACCTGGAGGTCGGGCGGGGACTTTACACCTGTTGTCAGGCCAGCCCAGAACGCACCAGGTGAAATGCCTTCTCAGAACGAGGAACGAGGAACGCAGAGGTCCTTGTGCCTGCCAGCAGCTGACACTCAGTGGGGAGGAGGTGGCGCTGGAAGGCCGGTGCCTGGATGCTGGTTGCCAGGCTGACCCCACCCCTGGCCTCTGTGTCCTGACCTCTGGATGCTTAGCCAGAGATCCAGGAACCATGAGTTTCTCCCCAGTAGGATGCTTGTGAGGATGAAATTAGGCTCCTGGTCATAGGCTCCTAATAAGCCTCAAAATGACTGATTTCACTGGGGGCAAGGAGGGGAGGGACATAACCCCAAGAGAGGCCCCGCAAAGGCCGGGCCCCTCCACGTGACAGCTGGGGAAGGTGAGGAGGACTCGGCACACACGGTGCCAGTAGGTGGCGTACTCCGCCACGTTCTGAGCGCGCCCCACCGGGGAAGGACCGGAAGTGCCGAGTGCGCCCCAGCACGGGGCTTGCAGTTGACGTCAGAACCTGCACGTGGGCGGGGCTGCTGCGTCAGGCGCCCCTGATCGATCCGTGCCAGTTGCAGGGACACTGTGTTGTCCATGACCTTGGGTGTGTGCTTCTGAAGGGAAGCCAAGGACTTGTGCCGTGCGGGTGAGCCAGCCTGCCCCTGCGTGGCTCAGTTTCATATAGGAGCTCAGTTTCATATATATTTTACATATACGTGAAAAAGGGAGGGAAACTGGGGACATTGGTGGTGGGAAATGGACACTGATGGAGGGAAGGGTGTTGGAACGTTGTATGCCTGAAACCCAATCAGGAACAACTTTATAACTATGTATCTCACGGTGATTCAATTTAAAAATAAATTTATTTATTCTAGGCAGGGCAAAGTAGACTGGTGGTTTACTAACAATTCGGAGAAATAATGATCCCCTAAATCAATTGCTATAAAAATATTGGCTGCTCACTCTTTACAATAGCCAGAATCTGGAAAATACCTGAGTGCCTGAGAACAGATGACTGGTTAAAGAAACTTTGGTACATTTACACAATGGAGTACTATGTAGCTGTTAGAAAAGATGAAGCCATGAAATTTACATACAAGTGGTATTACATGGAAAGTATCATGTTAAGAGAAATGAATCAGAAAGAGAAGGATAGACATAGAAAGATTGTATTCATCTGGGGGACATAAAGTAACAAAATAGGAAATCAATACCCAAGAGTAGCCGAGATCAGTACCAGGAGGATTACTCCATGGCTTAGAGGCCAGCCACACATGCTAGGGGAAAAGGGAGCTCAGATAGAGAAGGGAGCACCAAATAAAGGGTGTTGGGAGGATCCTCCCAGGATGGGAGAAGCATGCTGAAAGTAGACTATAGGCCAAACATGATTGCCACTCAATGCCTCCTTTGCAAACCACAACACCCAAAAGGATAGAGAGAATAAAAGGGAATGCCCTGCCACAGAGGCAGGGTGGGATGGGAGGGATGGGGGGTGGGAGGGATACTGAGACCCATGGTGGTGGAAAATGGGCACTGGTGGAGGGATGGGTATTTGATCGTTGTATAACTGAAACCCAAGCACAAAAATCTGTAAGTCTACAACTGTACCTCATGTTGTTTCACTAATAAAAATTTAAAAACAAAATTTAAAAAAATATTGGCTGCTGGGGGCCGGAGCAATAGCACAGCAGGTGGGCATTTGCCTTGTACGCTGCCCACCCAGGTTCAATTCGAAGCATCCCATATGGTCCCCTGAGAACCCCCAGGAGTAGTTCTTGAATGCAAAGCCAGGAATAACCTCTGTGCAACGTCGGATGTGACCCAAAAAGCCTATATATATATATATATATATATATATATATATATATATATATTACTTTTTTTTATATTAAAAAAAGATCTTATATGAGAAGATGAGAAGTTCTAGAATGAATGTCCAGTGTAGAAGGGCGGGGATGGGGAGCATCTTACAGGTGATGATGAGGAAACAGATGGTGAAGCCACGCCCCACACAGATGCCTGTGGTTCTGCAGCAGATCCCTGGTAAGGAGAAAGTGTGGGAAGCCCCACTGTCATTGGAGATGGGAGAAACATGATCAAGGAACGAAGTTTGTTTGCACCAGTCACGTGTCATTCACAGCCAATAAGCTGTGAATGACACATGAGGGAGAGGTACGACAAATCAGCTTGCCCAGAAAGCAGCCTTGGCACTGGCCCTTCGAGGTTTCTGAGGATGCATCCTTGGGCCTGACACCTCAGAGAGGAAGGAGACGGTGGGAGCAACAGAGGAGAAACTGAGTCATGATGCCAACAGCCTGGCTCTGCCCACCAGGAGGCTGGAGTTCAGCAGGACCAGACTGTCCCCTATCAGGCCCCAGTGACCAGGCCTAAACAGCTGCTGTGGACCAGCCGGTGGGTGTGGGTCATCCTAGGAGAGCCCCTGCCCACAAAAGGACTGATACTCCATCTGCTGACAGCACCCACAGCGCTGGGAAGAACCCAGGTCCTTGGTTCTGTAGTGATGCACCAGAAAACTAGGCCCAGCACCCACCTCACTGGGTATGTCTCTTGCCAGGACAAGATTGATTCTGTCAGGAAGTGCCCACATCTCCCAAAAAGATGTGGAATGGGGAACTGGAAAGGTAGTATTGAGAGTTGGGCACTTGCTTTGCATGCAGCTGACGCAGGTTCGATCCCAGGCCCCCCATATGGCTTCTTGAGCACCATCAGGAGTGATCACTGAATTCAGAGTCAGGAGTCATTCAGTCCTCAGCCCCATGTGGTCCCCAGAGCACTGCCAGGAGTGACCCCAGAGCACCAAGCCAGGAGTGGCTCCTGAGTAGTACCAGGTGTGGCCCCCAAACAGAAAAAAGAAAGGGAGGGGGGTACGTTGCCACCCAACAGGTCAACCTGCACCTATTGAGCAAGTGCATCAGCAGCCATTGATGGAAACTTCAGGCTTCCTGATACCCTAAAATTGCTGCTTTGCATCTAGCTGGACCCCAACAATCAATCAATCAAATAGCCGTAGTCACGCCCACAAACCACTGCCAGCTCGATACATATATAAGCTCATGTATCGGCCTTGCTTCAGAGACCCATAAATAAGTCTCGAACGATAAAAAGCAAGGCCATTTAAACGCATTAATGGCCATGATTCAGAGACTCACAAATGAATCTCGGAGGAGAGCAGCACGCCTCAGAGATGCCTCCGGACCCAAAATATTTTAAAAATTTTAGAAATCCAGGAGCACTCCGCTGCTTTTGTGGTTGCATAACATCTCATACTATTCATAACAAGCATACAAAATAAATTATTCAGCACCTGCCTATGGCGCAAGCTTGGGTGGTGGTGGGAAATTTTAAAATAATAGTGGTGGGAAGGTGTAATGGTGGTGGGATGGGTATTGAAATATTGAATGAAACAATTGTGAACAACTTTATGAATATAAAATTTTGAAAATTTTTTTAAAAAGTAATGTGGAATTCATGCCTGCTTAATCAGTGGCTGAATAAATAGTAGTACTCCTACATTATAAAAAAAATTTGTTTAAATAAATTAAAAATAAATGAAAGAAGAGAGAGAAGAAAGAAAGAAGAAAGGGGAAGCAAGGAAGGAGGAAAAGAAGGTTAGGAAAACAGATGAAGTAATTGTGATAAACGCTTGTTAGACTGAGTGATAGGGTTAGTTAGGCTCTGAGTGACGGTGAGAAGATGGGGCTTCTGGTACAATTTCTGCTTTTGAACATGATGGAAGATGTTTATAAGGAAACTGAACAATGAAAGCAAAACGACAACAGAAAATGAAAATAAAACACCACAAATAATTACAAGCTAATGAACGTGGCATTAATCATAGGTTTAATTGAGGTCTATAGAAGCTAGAATGTCGGTTTTGCTTAATGCAGAATTAATTCCTAGCGCTGAAAAAAAAAATCTTTACAAGCTATTAGGTAAACGGAAGCTGGATACTCTTTCTCCTACGAGCTTCACATCTCCAGGTGTGTGGTCTTCGGCTGGCCTTGCCAGGGGCTGAGCCCGGGGCGCTACTGGAGACAGCAGGACTTGGACGTGGGTGCGGCCCCAGCCGGCTTGGGGCTGTTCCCTGCCTGGTTCCCGGCAGAGGCTGCAGCTGTACCGGAAAGAGCAAGGTGAGAGGAGGCGCGGGCTGGGGCTGGGCTAGGGGTGGCGGAGGTCGAGGGTGAGGCGGAGGCGGGAGTCTGGGGCCTTTCGGGGGTCGTGAAGGTGCGGCAAACCAGCACGCTGGGGGCTGGAGCAATAGCACAGCGGGTAGGGCATTTGCCTTGCACGCGGCTGACCCGGGTTCGATTCCCAGCATCCCATATGGTCCCCCAAGCACCGCCAGGAGTAATTCCTGAGTGCAGAGCCAAGAGTAACCCCTGAGCATTGCCAGGTGTGACCCAAAAATAAAAAATAAAAGTAGGCACACTGCCTACAGGAAACCGAGGCTGAGCACGATCGTGGGAGCAAGGGTTGGGGAAGGACTGTGTGCCTGCACACCGCCCGCCCCAAAAGTGGAACAGAGATTCCTCCTGGCTGTGGGCCGCTAGGAGAAGCTGAGCAAGGAGATGATTTCAATTTCAGGAGTTCCTTTTCTCAGGAACTCTCACGAAAAGTGGTGAGTTCCTGCTGGCAGGATAGGCAGGGCCCCACGTCAAGCCAGACGCTCCTGAGATGGCTTTCAATGGTGACAGATGGCTTTCAACGGTGACGGTGATGACTTGGCTGTGACACCTCTGAAACCCCCCCGCACAACCCAGGGCGCCCCACCCCCCCATGTAAAATGGGCATTATGATGAAAAAAATCTATCCTACGCATCTTTGGTTTTATAACTGATTTCTAGAATGTCCTTTAGAAAGAGGATTTTGCTTGGGGATGGAAAGTTTTAGAAAGATGACCAGCCTGTCTGCATTTATTCCAGGCTAAGAAAACACTGATTTTAGGAAACTCCCTGAAACCGGACTGATAGCCCTGGACACACACACATACACACACACACACACACACACACACACACACACACACACACACAGGCTCTGGGACCCCTGAGCTTTGCCGAAGGATTCAGGTGCTGGTCTAGCCTAGACCCCCCGGATCTGATCAGCCCGGGCAATAAAGACCTCCTTGCTCCCCCATCATGGACTGCCTCCTGTGCTTGATTAAGCGAACACGCGTGACAGCAGGGGGACTTGTGGAGAAGCATGGCTGCGGCGAGGTGCTGAGGCAGAGCCCCCGGGAGCCCCTGGGGAGCGGGCACCAGGCTCCCCTCCTGCAAACCTGGCTTGGCCGCCTGCTGCTGCTGCTGCTGCTCCTCTAGCAGCTTCATCTTGGCGTCATACTCGTCAGCGAGTGCCTTCCACTCCCTGCGGTTGGTGGTGATGCCGTCCAGCATGGGCGTGATCTCCTCGTGAAAACGGGAGAACTCCTGCAAGGGAGGATGCTCCTGTGGGAAGGGGCGAGGGGGTCTCCGTGCTGGGAGGGGAGGGGGCACTCCTGCTTAGAGCTCTGCAGGGCCACCCCACCCCCAACGCCCAGATTCCTTCATTTGGGCTGCACCCTTCCAGGTCCTGTGCCTTGTGACCTCCTTCTGGATGTCACACAGCTTTGACTTCACACGGAACCTCCCCACTTCTCCCCACACCACTCCATCCATCACTTCCCAGGCTAGCCCCTTTGGATGCCCCAGGCAAGTCAGCTCCCTCTTGGGAGCTCCCAGCCCTCTTTCCCCCCTCCCTCCCTCAGAATATGCCCCTGCACCCCAAGATGCAAAGCACTAAGATGCACAAGTGCTCTGTCAAGAGGGTTGGAGAAGTCTCTTGCATCTACCTAGCTCTAGAGGGGCGCTTTGAACACAGCCTGGGTAGTTAGGAAGCACCTTACTGCTTCTGAGTTGCAGAAACTCTTGGGCATGAGGGTGGTGAGGGTCCTGAGTGTTGAGAGGGGTCTCCTGGTAGGAAGGGGCCCCCCTCTCCTCCCACCTACCCTGGCTATGGCCTGGTGTGGGTCACTAGAGAGCGGCACGCCCACAGACTAGGTTGTGACCACGCCTGGAAGAAGCCTGGACCATCTCCCAGCCAGTGGCAGGGACAGTCCCGGACATTTAGCCTGTGGCTGCAAGTAGTTTGCCAGGTCAGTCCTCTCAGGAACTCAGGGGCCCCTCTGGGAATGCCCCACACCCTTGGCAGTGACCCCAGCACAGGGCCTTTTTGCAGAAATGCCTCCTTAGAGGAAAAGCACTTGGACAATCCCACCATTGTCCCTGGCTGGGGGCAACATTTGTGTTGGCATCTCAGATGTCCTGAAATCATCAGGTTGGGCCTGAGGAAGCACAGGGCCTACCTTGTAAACAAAGGTGCAGACGAAGTCGATGAAGCCCACCTGGAGCTTGGGGAGTTCATCTGCCTTGTTTCTGTCCATCATGGGCTGCAGAGGGAGAGAGTGTCCACTGCTTGATCAGGGCCCCCATCAAACCCTAAACTCAGCAACCTTCCAGTGAACATCTTAGAGGTTTGCAGGAAAAAGGGCAATAGAGAAATCTACTCAAAGTCCCCAGAAGGATGCAACCCACTGTGTGGACCTCAGCCAAAATCCAGAATGCTGGACACACGACACAAGACTTGCCGTCTTCAACATATGAAACTCTCACCCCTGAACAATAAACCAGATGTCACTGCTGCTTAAGTGATTCAAGAGACATGACAATGAGGAACTGCGCCTTGACTGGATTCTAATTCAAATAACTCACTGCTTCTTATTACTCAAGCAGGGAAAATGAGCAGAGACAGGTGCTATCAAAGGATCATTGTTAATTCCACGTGATGATGCATTGTGCTTGTGTATGTATGTGGAGGAGTGATGGTGGGTGTTTTATGTTCTTGTTTGTTTGGTTTGGGGGCCACATTCTGCAGTGCTCAGGGGTTACATCTGGCTCTGTGCTCACCCACCTGGCTGGCTTGGGGAACTGCATGTGGTGCAGGATCAAATGTGGCTCAGCCACATGGCAAGGTAATGACCCCACCCCTGGTACTATCTCTCTGGTCTCTGTTTTAAGTTCTTATCCCAGAGTTGAAAACTAATTATGGATGAAATGACAATGCCTGAATCGTACTTTTCTATACTTTGTGCCAGAAAGAAAAAAAAACACATAAAGAGCATGAATAAGTGGAATGGATGGATGGATCAAACCAGAATGGTAGATGGTAATGAATTAATTGTAATGGTAACAAGTTGACTGAAGGGTGGTCAAAGTTTATCGACAATTCTGTCTACCTTGAACAAAGTCTAAGAGAAAAGAGACACAAATCTGCAGCTTGCTGTTCAAGTTCAAGAGGCTGTTTGGGCCAAGGATGTGGCTCAACAGCCCGGAGCTCTTGCCTTGCCTGGGTTTGAGCCCCAGCACCTCATGGACCCCCAAGCACTGAGCCAGGAGCAGCCCCTGAGCACCGCTGGGTGTGACCCCCAAGTCAGAAAGAGTCAAAAAACAAAACCAAAAGACATATTGGTTCTTCAAAGCCCCCCCCCCCCCCGGCCTCTGCATTCACCACAGATCCCTCTCACATCTCCATGGAGTTCTATCCCCTGTCCCCTTCCCCATTTCTGGCCTGTCTCTCCCTCCCTGCCCTAGCTCAGGCCCTTGGTGGCTCCTCTAACTGGTCCTCAGGGCCCGAGGATCCCAGCCAAGCTGTCATCTTGGACAGTTTCTTGACAGCTCCTTCCAGCATGCTCCGTGCTGCAGGAACAACATCAGGAGACCTGTTGGTCTCGGCAGAGGTGAGGAAGCTGAGGATGCCTCTGTGGGTTCCCAAGCTCCATCAGGGCCCAGATGCAGGAGGGCATGTTGCTGAGGCCAGCCTGGGAGCTTCTAGGTCCAGGCTTCCCTCATTTGTTCTCAAGCAGCAAGGCAGATGGCGCTCCTGGAACCACACTCTTAGCAGAGGGCCATCTTGGGCCAAGGACATGGCTCAAAGGACTGAAGGCTGACTTTGTAGGCAATTGGGTTCCTGACACCACTTGGTCCTCCAAGCATCACCAGGAGTGACATTGAGCATTATGCTGGGAGTAGCCCCTGAGCACCATCAAGTGTGGCAGGAGAAAGAAAGAAAGAAAGAAAGAAAGAAAGAAAGAAAGAAAGAAAGAAAGAAAGAAAGAAAGAAAGAAAGAGAGAGAGAGAGAGAGAAAGAAAGAAAGAAAGAAAGAAAGAAAGAAAGAAAGAAAGAAAGAAAGAAAGAAAGAAAGAAAGAAAGAAAGGAAGGCCATCTGCATGGCAGGGTCCTCCACATCCTTTGCTGAGAGACACAGTTCCTCCTCAGGACATGCCCCAACCCCACGGGGAGACGACCCACTTTACTCACGATGGGGTTCTGCTGCAGCACCTCACGCTCCAGGTCACCTTGTTCCCAGAACTCAGCAGCCACCAGGAGAGCTACCTGCAACAGGCAACCCAGCCCAGTGCGGTCAGTGGGACCCGCATCCTCCAAGCCCACTGGGGCTTCCAGCCCAGCAAACTGGAGCGCTCACCCTGCATGCCCCCGCAACTTCATTTCACTGACAACATGGTCCCCCAGTGACCTCGCTGTCTTGGTAAAGCAGGATGGGGGCGCAAAGCGGCCACCTGCAGAGTGCAGTGGAGTTAAGTCCACTGCCACCAGGACAGGGAGCGGGAAAGGAGGGACCGTACCTTGCTCTGTACTTCCCAGGGCTTGGTGATGGCTGAGAGGTCGCACGCGGTCATCATCATGGCCCTGGGCACAAAGATACCAGCCATGAGTGCAGAGCCAGTGAAGGAGCAAGGCTGCTTCACTCCACCCGCCTCTCCAGCTCTGCACCCCTTTGTCTGGCTTTTGTTGTTGTTGTTGTTGTTGTTGTTATTTTTCTTTTTTCTTTTTTGTTCTTTGGTTTGGGGTGGGAGGGGCGGTCATACCCAGCAGCACTCAAAGCTGACTCCTGGCTCTGTGCTCAGGGATCACTCGCCACTCTGTGCTCCGGGATCACTCCTGGCAGTGCTCAGGGGACGGTGTGGGGTACTAAGGATCAATTCCTACCCACTGTGCTTTCTCTCTGGCTCTGTACCCCTTTGTGAGTAGAGGAATCACCCACTCCTACTGTGTCTGAAGGTCCGGCTTTGGCGTCAAAGGACGTGTAAAGCCTGCCTCTGCAAGGATAAGACTGATACAGAGAGATTGCATCTACTTCTCAAGGCCTCAGCTTCCCTCTCTATACTAACAGACCCACACGTATGTAAAACTCTTGGCCTAGCACCCACACAATGCATGTGTGCTGGTGCTCTGGGTATATGCATGAAGGTCATCACTGTCACTCTCCTGGAGCATTTTACACATGTCACCTCTGTTGCTCTGTTCCCAGCCTCTCCCAGCTGCCTTCTCTACTATCCAGAGTAGAACTGTGTGTCCCAGCCACCCTCTGGCCACGACATTTCTCTCTGGTCACTCCCAGAACTGTTGGTGCTACCGACAGGGCATATCTGTGGGAAGGGCCAAAGACACCACTGTGCTAAGCTGTTTTGCTTCTCTCCCAAGAACAGCTCATATCCCTGTTGGAGGTTAGGCCGCAATCCCCTTTGAATGGTGTCTGGGACAAGGCTTGATGTCGGGGGGGACAGGATTGGGGAAAGATCTGCTCTTAGAGGGACCTCAGGAAGTGGGTAGGACCACAGGGAGGTTCTGCCTCAGGCAGAAACAGCAACAAAGAACAGAGCAGTGAGCATCAGACACTGAGAAGCTTCAGGTTGGCACACAGTGGCATGGCCATCCAAGAGAATATCTTGAGCACTACCTTGGTTGTTCAATTCTGAGCTGGCATCGCAATGGGTACAGATGAGATGGGGAGTGGGCATTAGGACCCCCTGGAACTTCAAAGACAGGCAGGAAGGCGGTCAGAAACCTGTAAGAGGGAGGACAGGGTCCCCCTGACCTGTGGGGACCAATGGATGGGGACTGGGGTGGTAGAGAGGGTTGGGGCTCTGAACCCAGCTTGCTCCTGAACTGTGCCACCAGTGGCAGGGGCCAGGATTATGAAAAAGTAACAGTTTTCAATGCCCTTGAGTGAGTAAAGCCCACAAAAGTTGTTCCTTAAGTAAATTTTTGTTTGTTTGGGGGCCACACTTTGACCTGGTGTTTCTTAGACCTTCCTCTGCATAGCACAGCAGAGTAATAGCACAGCTGGAGCAATAGCACAGTGGGTAGGGCGTTTGCTTTGCAGCGGCTGACCCGGGTTCGATTCCTCTGTCCCATACAGAGAGCCCGGCAAGCTACCGAGAGTATCCCACCCGCACGGCAGAGACTGGCAAGCTCCCCATGACGTATTCGATATGCCAAACACAGTAACAACAAAGTCTCACAATGGAGACGTTACTGGTGCCTGCTCGAGCAAATCGTTGAACAACGGGAGGACAGTGCTGCAGTGCTACTCTGCATTAAAGGCTCTGCATTTAGGGATCACTCTTGGCAGGACCATAGGGGGTGTCTGGGATTGAACCCCAGTCAGCCATCTGCAAGGCAAATGACCTCTCTGCTAAGTAAATTAGTTTTCTGAAACCTCTTAGAAATCCATTCAGTGTTGCATGTAAGTGTCATGGGCATGTAAGTGTCATGACTGTGACCTGCTTTTTCCATAAGAGAGATACACAGGGGTCCCTGGGACATGCTCTTCTCTGTAAGGGCTTCCAGGTGCGCCTTCAGGAGGGCACCAGGTGCTGACCCTTCTTGGCTGGAAAGGTCATATGATGATCCCTCCCAGGGCTGGGGAATTTCTCCGAGTGTTTCATAAACAGAGCCATGATGTGTGCCTGACCAGTGTGCCTGAGGACACCTAGGCATGGGCAAAGGCTCCCCAAGCCCCTGCCCTCCAGTCCCACCCCCATTAGGGGCTAGGGCTGGGGTGCCAGTCTAGACACTGGGAATTCAGACATTCCTGTAGCCTGTTATCACGGGAAAGGAAACCGGGTCGCACGTGCTCTCCGTTGCTTTGTCAGAGGTCACCACGCTGGCGAATAAAGATCTGCAACCCATCAGGCCATTTCCCAAAGAGCCTGCATGCACTTACCAACTCTGGGATGTTTGGGCAATTCTCATCATTTCAGCCTTTCTCATTATTATGACTGTCATGAGGATTTGTGACCAGGGATCTTTGATTTTACTATTGCGCTTGTTTTAGGTCACCATAAACTGCACCCACAAAAGACAGTGAAGTAGATCAATAACTGTATGTGGACCTGCTCCATCCGCCGGCAATTTTTCCATCCCTCCATCTCCATTTCCTGGGGCTGCCCTATTCCTTTAGACACAACAATGGAGAAATAAGGTCAATTAGGACCCTGCCTGTCAGGTGTTCATGGGAAACAAAGCATCCCACATTGCTAACTTTTTTGTTTGAGGGGAGGTCATTGAGGAAAACAGCTACACTGAGCAGAAAATGAGAGGAGACAAAGAAATTTGCTTTCTACTGGAAGAAAATGCCACTCAGGACTTACAGAGCCAGAAAGGAGACATTGGTGTCTGGCTTCAAAGCGTAAAGGACAGGCTGACTCTTGTGTTAGGGGTGAATGGAGCTGTTGACTTAAAGCCAATGTTTATTTACCATTTTTGGGGGGGAGAGGACCAGAACGTTTATGTCATACCTGGCTGTGCTAGGGGCTTACTGAAGGCTCTGTGCTCAGGGATTACTCCTGGAGGCGCTAGGGGAACCATACGTGGGGTATGAAATGGGATCGGCCACAAGCCAGGCAAGTGCCTGAGCCTCTGTGTTATCATCCTGATCCTCATTTACTTTATTGAAAACCCTTGCTTATGGCTCTTAGAAATGATGTGAAATCTACTTCATTCACTTGTAAAGTGAGATCATCATCTTTGACTGGAGCCTGTGAAATTCTGCTTTGGTGGGTCCAAAACAGTCCAATGTTAGCAGTTTGTGATGGTCAGTGAACTGCACCTGCCCAGTCATCATTGTGACCATCGCATAAGATGATTTTCAGTTCCAGGATGCAGTTCAGTGGCAGAGTACTTGCTCCATGTGGAGGAAGCCCTGGGTTCAAGCTTCTGCCGTCCCCCCACCCCGTCGTCCACCCTCAAGGCAGATATCTCTTTCACTTAGCTGGGAAGCTTGTGGCACTGATCCCTGACTCCTGGCTCACCCCAGAAACACCCCAATCAACCTGTGCAGGTATTCAGACACACCCTAAAAGTACACCTGGCCTGGAAATTGTGGTCTGCTGGATCAGGCCAAGCAGAGCTGAGCAAACTGGCAGCTTGGAGATATGTGTGTGTAAGAGGGTTGAGTGGCTTGAGTTTCAATCCTTCATGCTCCACCAATGCCCAAGTAACACAGGCAAGTTACTCTCCTCAGTGGTAAAACACAAAACTCCTGGGCTGGAGCAATAGTACAGCAGAGGGAATGATCACGCTGGCCAAGAACTGAGTATTAAAAGTAGGTTAAGTTAGGGGCTGGAGCAATAGCACAGCGGGTAAGGTGTTTGCCTTGCAGCCGACCCGGGTTCGATTCCCAGCATCCCATATGGTCCCCCGAGCACCGCCAAGAGTGATTCCTGAGTGCAAAGCCAGGAGTAACCCCTGAGCATTGCCGGGTGTGACCCAAAAAGCAAAAAAATAAAAAATAAAAAACAAAAGTAGGTTAGCCTGAGAGTCACTTCTAGTGATATTCTTTTTTTTAATAATTAAAAAAAGTTGTGTCCATAAATTTGTTTTTCTTTTTACTTTTTTATTGTCTAGTGATATTCTTGATAACCTTTCAGTATCAATATTGCAAACCACAATACCCAAAAGGTGAGAGAGAGAGAGAGGGACAGACAGACAGACAGGGACAGAGACACAACGAGAGAGATAGAGACACAGAGAGAAGAAAAGTGCCTGCCATAGAAGCAGGCTGGGGACTGGCAGTTGGGTGATGGGAGCGAACCTGGGGACACTGGTGCTGTGAAATGTACACTGGTGGAGGGATGGGTGTTGGGACACTGTATGACTGAAATATAATCATGAACAGCTTTATAAGGGTCTATCTCACAATGATTCAGTAAAATAAATAAATAAATGCAGATAAAAAGAAAACAGCAGATAGGATGAAGCTGATCTGGGTTTGATCCCTGGCACCACGTATAGTCCCCCCAAGTCCTGCCAGGAGTGATCTCTGAGCACAGAGCTAGAGTAGCCCTGAGCACTGCCAGGCATACCCCTCCACCCCCTCCCTCCAAAAGACATGTATACATCTTTGTTGACTGCAGCACTCTTCACAATAGCCAAGATCTAGAAACAACCCATATATCCAATGATAGATAAATAGGTAAGGAAATTGTGGTATATACACAACAGAACACTTCTTGATTATAAGAAAAGATGAAATTTACTTTGTTACAACATGGATGGAACTAGAGTGAGTCATGTTCAGTGAACTGTGTCATAAGAAGGACAAATGCTGGCTGATCTCACTCATATGTGGTGTAAACAAAACTAGGGAATGGCAAGCGTCCAGTGAAAACAAATCTTTGGACTCTGATAACAGATTTGAGGTTACCAAGCAAGGGAGTGGGGGAGAGGGTGGAGGAGGCAGAGGGATGAAATAGATTATAAGTGACATAGTGACTGTGGTGGAGGGCTTGGGGCATTTTTGTGGTGGTGAAGGTGCAGAAACTTTGTATATCAAAAACATAAATATCGAGAGTACTGCAAACCATGTTGCCTCGTAATTCGTGAAATCATTTTTTTTAATAGTA